TCGTAGTGTAATTTTCTATTCGTGCAAGAAATCGTCCCTTCAAATACCTGCAGAAGTTTCCGCTTTGGAGTGGCCTGCGGGCTCACCAAATGTATATACAAGCTGAAGATATTATTTAGGACTCGACGTGGTAATAGATAGTTCCTTTCGAAAAATAGTAACATAATGTGTTTGCAGATTATTCAAATGAACAAAATCGACGCATTCGCCAAAGAATATGTTTGAAGGATAGTAATTTACGGAAAAAGTGTGAAGATTATTTGAATGAACAAAATTGACACATACTGATAACCTTCGAATTTCATTTTGGAATCGCGGGATTGCGTTTTGATTGGTGAGAAATTAATTTCAAAAATATTTTCATTTCCTAATGAAAGTAGCCAAATTTTCCTTAGGGCCACTCCTATCAGTAACATTTTGTCGTATCATAAACAAAGCAGATATTTAACACTGCAAAATCATGAATTCTACAGAGCCGAGATATTAAAAGTAATTTCAGACTGAAGTTCTTAATTTTTTCATAAAACGATCCAACTAATAATTTTCCTAATCCCTGAAAAACAAATGTTTTATTGAACATCATTTATACAGTGTACTCAATGAAGTCTGCACCGTATGTAGTTTTGTATACGAACTATTTGAAAAAATCTATGATGCAAATCACGTGTCTACCTTTTCGAAGGTTATTTTTCATTGCAATCAAATCAAATTGATGTCCTATCGAAATCAATCTGTTCAAAGTCTGTATTTTCTAGCTGTAGCTTCCTTACAACGGGTAATCCTCAAAAGTTGAAACCTGTGCAAGCTAAGAATCAGCAGGGTCTTAGCTTTCAACTTGCGATCCTTAGCATGGTCGGAGCCAAACTTAAAATGAATCTATCAAACGAAAACGTCATGTGATGCGGACTCTACTGGTCACACTGTAGAAATGGAATTTTTTTTCACTAGTTTCTTCAATACAAAAAGAATGATCCAAAGGAGCATATGGTTTATGAACCTTTGAAGTTACAGATGAAAGCACAGAAAAAACTTTGGACAAAGCTATTAATCAACACAATAAAACAATAAAGAAGTTGAGAATAATAAAATGTTAAAATACATACAAGAGTAATAATGTAATTATTATTTTGTCACACAGAAGCTGTTTCGTTTCCAATTCCTTATAGAAATTATTCCAAATCCTAAAATAGGTACTCAATTATCAATAAAATAGTGTATATGTTTAGGTACACTTTTTCGGTTGCATTTAACGCATTCAATGCTTTCAGTAGTGAACAAAGTTATCACGTCATCAAAAAAATGTTTATATGAAATGTCACCGCTGAATATTTTTTTTCAATTGAAGTATTTTTCAAACATTATATCGACGCATTTCCTGTTCGTGAAATTTTTCGAAAAAATTGCATTTATTTATTAATCCTCCATGTATTTGCGGAAGAATTGAGTTGTTTTGATGTTTTGGGGAAAACTTATACCCCCCAAAGAATAAAATGAAAATGATTTCACACATGGAAAAATTCCGAAAAGGTTCATGCATGAAATATTTCAAATACGTTGGGATGCATCATTCAGCAACGAATAAATTCCATGAGATTCACTTTGAACGACAATCGCTGTGGTATGAAAAAAAAGAAATCAAACGGCGATAAATGCATTTCTAGAAATCAATAGAATATAATTTTTCCAATATCGGTATGGAATATTCACGATATAAGAGCTTTGTTCGAAAGTGTCAATTCACAAAATTATATGTTGAGAAGTAGAGTGTTGTTCAACCAGTTCAAAGTCCCAATAGCTTCCTTATATAAATGAAGATGGAATAGAGTGACATAATCATGAAACAAAAAATGTAACATGTATTTAGACTACATTTTCATTCACAAAATTCTGAAGTCCACAGTGTGTACAAGGTATTTCTGAAAATATCTGAAAATATCGTTATATCAATATCAGAATGTTTTTGGATTCAACATGCACTAACCAATGTAAAATTTCATTTCAACAATATCAATTTCGAAGCTATAAGGCAAGTAATCTCCAATTGTGTGATCAATAAATTCGTCGGAAGGAAGCTTTTCAATTCCTAATTGTTAGTACACTTGTCCAATTTCATAATTGTTGCCTGGAAAGGCATGTATTGCTTTTTGTATCAGAATTATTAGTAATGCATAGCTCGTAGGAGCTTTGAAGTCACCAGCTGGCATCCGACCCTTCATTTTTATACTTTATACCGGCAAGTCAGTGCATTGAAATTGAACCAACGATATCAAAGTTCAAGCATCAACTAACACAATTATCTCCACTAGTCACAAGTATCAGTGCGATACAGTACTACTGGCGTTGATTTATGTTATCTCGAAACATCGAGTATCTGAAAAAGTCTGAGCCAGGTACCTCTAAGTATATAGATTCCTAATATGTTACCTCTGCGCTTGTGACGGATATATTGACTCACTTGAGAAAGTTGGTAAATCATACAGATCAAAGAACAGGTGAGTTGTACACACAAAAGTTACAGTTCATAATTTTTTTTCAAAATTTTCGTGTTTTCTTTACCGAGCCGGGTAGTTCTGTCAAAAATAACAACCCATAATATGCCTGTCAGGAAAGTTTTTGAAAATAAATGAAATTTTGTTTGATCTACGATAATTGAAAAAAATTGGGTGATTAATTTTGACTCGGAAAATGTGGAAAAATTATCAGAACAAACTTGGGTTGGTCAATTCCTGCATATTCTTTTAATGATATAAAGATATATTTTGCCAAACAACGCATAAACTATGAAAATCTCATTATCACATGTTCAAAAAATCATGTTCAATGAAGAATGTTCTGCTAAAATTGATTGTGCTCTATATTTATTAGGAACTTTCTTCTTGTTTATATAAGGAGGTGATGTATGTGACTTTAAAAGGACAACATTCATTAAATTTCTTCGTGACTCTTGAGAACAACATGTATTGTGTGATATTGAGAAACTAGTTATAAACTCTGGGTAGCCAAATGAAAGTGAAACACGGCCTTGTTTATATCTGCATGAAGAATAAATCAGAAAGGTGCCCTGAAATCAATCAGTCTTTATAACTTGTTTCTCAAGATAAACGAATATTTCATCTTTTTTAGTGAAACTTACTTCACGTACAGAGTAGGTATAAATGAGATTTTGCAAAAATCATGTTTAATATCCACAGGAAAACTTATGATTATATAGCATGAGAAATATTTAATGAATAGTTTATGCACCTACGTTCACGTGTATTGTAATTTTCAATTGTCCTCATTACAACAAAATTGACATCGCTTGTGGTTTGCAACTTTTTTGTGCTCACCCTGTATATCACCTTTGTAGCAAACCAAAAATCGAACAATCTACGACATTGAACAACAGAAATTGACAGTGCTGATTCCCCTGGCCTCCGCTTGTTCCTCATGTCTGTTTTATTTTTCTTTAACCCCTATTTGGTTTCACTATCGGCTGCGCGTTGTTTTTTTCTGCCCGTATGGCCTAGTCCACGATTGATATTTTGCAACTTTCTAGTTCTTCTTTACAGGAAGTTATGATTGGGTAACACTCAATTCTTGTTCCGCGAATGGAATTCATTTAAAAAAAAGGTGGTTTGTTTTGCGAAAGCCTCTAAAACTAATATTTCAGGTGGAAGATAAATAACTCTCGAAAAAGTTACTGAAAAAAGATGTACTTTAGTTTTGGCTCATATAAAAATACGTTGTTGACATTTCCTTCAAAAATAAAGCTTTGAAAAATGGAAACCACAGGCGTCACTGCAGGAATCTTCACACAAAATTTCCTGCATATACAATTGGCGATACAACTGAAAGAGTCGACCTCCAATTTTGCAGACCGGTTTCGGGCTCCTTAGCCACTCGTCAGTGCAAGATAGTGGCCATCGTCTACCTAACGTCAATGATATTCCATTCGTTGGATATAATCCAACGCCTTTCGTGGCATTAGCCAGTGGAGTAGTTGTTTTCTGATAGGCGTCAGTCCATTCAACCTACTGTGTAGGTATACCCGAGACGGGCTTGAACATTTTAAGTTAATTTCTTTAGATTTGTTCATTGCCTGTCTTCAAGCATATCCCACTGACTAATAAGAAAGTTTTTCTTACTTATTCAGAGGAATCGGGCAAATGTCGGATATGCAGTTGGTTAGCACCTAGTCCACTAGATGAAGTGACATTTTTGTTGTTCGCTCCAACTTAAGACGAGGAATGAAATACTCTGAAAGAATTTAGATTTTCAATAATGGAATATCTTTGACTTTGATGATGGCCACTATCTTGCACTAACGAGTGGTTAAGGAGCCCGAAACCAGTCTGCAAGTGTGCCCGTTCCAAAATTGAAGGTCGTCTCTTTCAGTTGTATTGTCAATTGCATATGCAAGAAATTTAATGTGATGATTCCTGTACTGACGCCTAGCGGATATAATCCAACGCCGTTCGTGGTATTAACCAGTGGAGTAGTTGTTTTCTAATAGGCGTCAGTCCATTCAACCTACTGTATAGGTATATCCGAGACGGGTTTGAACATTTGAAGTTCATTTCTTTAGATTCATCAGATTCATATTTGATAAGTTACAAGCTTTGTTGTTGAAGCACCTGGATATAACGACCCATCAATGAGCCAAACCATCCGGACTTCAGAATTTTTTTTCTAATAGATTTTCTACTCTTCCAGATCTATATAGCTTTGGAGGTTGTCGCAAAACCCAAATAACTCTTTTTATTCGATTCGATAAAAACAAAACGTGAAACAGGAACCTCTGGTATAAAACAAGTACTTTTCCTAATCACCAGAACTAAAATTGGGGAGTACTTTTTTCGGATTTGACTTAATTGTTCAAAACTCCGAAACTCCGGGTGAAATCACGATTCAAATAACACCCCAACCATAATTTTTTTGACTACGAACTCATAAGTTGCGAAATGACATTCGTGAACTGGACTACCATCCGCACCTGGTACACTGGCTTGTGATTGCAGTCGGTTACACCATGCGTGATATCCGGTATAAGTGGAACGAGGGCCCCAATTCGGTGGGGGTGTCAAACGAGGTGTCGCTGCCCCAGTTTAAGGTGCTTGGACACAGGCAGAGAGCCATGGAGATCAGTCTCACCACAGGTACCTCATCTGGGACATGGTAACCTTTATTGTAGCTGATAGGATATTTTATCACCTTTTGTTTTTGATTGCTTGTGACGATTAGTGGAAAATCAGAGAACAACCTTGAGATTGAGAAGTTGAATTGTTTGTTGCGAAAAAACTAGTAGATTTTTTTGTTGAGAAAGTGTTTTTAGTAAACATTCACGACTTTTTTTCCATTTGATACATTGCATTATATGAATCAGTGTTATTTTTTCAGAATTGAAAGCCAATTACATTGTGTAACATTGATAGTGCAGCAAATGCTTCAAACTGAGATTCTAAGACATTTTCTTGCTTCAGTCATCTCCGATTACTAGATATTACGGCTGCGTAAAGCGTATTCATGTTAAATCTTAGATGTACCCGTCGAAAGATGTGATGCTAGACTAACTCACAAAGTTTACCGAAAATGCACGCACACGGATAGATGCCTGCAGGCACTGACAAACCACCATCTTGGTCAATAGAGAGAAGTTATCTCTACTCTAATTGAACAGGCTTGAAGGATATGTGAATCAGAGTATCCAGAGGAAGAACTGTAACGTCTTCAAGTGGCCTTGAGATCGAATAGATAGAGTGAATCCGAAAACAACAAGGCCATGAAACCGAAGAGTACCACGGTTCAAAACGGGAAGAAGGCTCAGATGGTTGCACGTGTGTATCTACCATATATTCCTAGGGTCACAGACAACATTGGAAAGCTCTTGGGGAAATACAACATTAAAATGATTTTCAAACCCACCAAGAAGATACAACAAGTATCAGGTCGGCTTAAAGCAAGGGAGACACACTATCAGCGGAGAGGTTATATCGCATACCTTGCACTTGTCACAAGATCTTTGTTTGGAACTTCTGTCCAAGGGCACCAAATATTATGATCCATGACTCATTCGATTCGTTCGTTCAGATCAATACTGAACTCATAGAAGCAGCGGTGAAAGTTTAAAAAATTATTCAAATTACTGGATATAATGAACCAGAATTCATTTATAGTATATACGAAGTCAATTCAAACAGACAAATTTACTCATTAGTTCCACTAACCTAACCTCCCACATAAAAATATTGCTTAGAGTTCGTATTATACCACGCCGCCCATTCCATACAAAGAAACCGCCAATGTTCGGTAACTTTTTAGTTTGTATGCTAATCGAATTGACCTCGTATATACTATACATGATACTCAACTAGCGCAACAAACAAATTCAACTTCAAAAAATCCTGGTTTCACCAAAGTTCACGTTTTCATAATAGAAATATTTTCACAGTATTGTCAGTCTTGATGATTGCGTTTTTTCCTTTCAGTTTGTGATGAATTCTTACCAATAATTAATGACTTGATTCAAAAGATGTAGAGGTTCTTCGTGACAAGATTGGCAATGATATCAAAATGTTTATTCATCAAAGATAGATATACTTCAACTGAGAGTAGAAGTAAAAAAACTCTTATGGAAGTGTCAACTCGATTTCAAAAAAGACAAATTTGTTGATGATTCAATCACAATTTTTTTGCATGCATTATCAATAAACTTCACAACTGTTAACTCTCATTTTTTGATCTGCTGGTATTAACACTTGGAATTAATTTGTTTTCAGTCATTTGACATACAAGTGAAGCCCAGAAAGTTTGTTGCTACAATCAATAAAACATTCGTGATGATTTATTTTGTCCTTCACGTCTCATATTTTTTTTCCACTATAACGATTTGGATATATCATGACTGTTACAAAGAACCAATTTTCTATGAGCTGATAGAATTTGCCTGACTTTGATCGCACCTGGTATGATATACTTGTCTTTTCTGGATTGTCTCAGCCACATTTGAATCAACTTTGGCAGTGGAAAGTTGCTATAGAGAACGTTTAAACTATTGAAAAAAATATTCCGGAAAAATGGATATCAGGTCACACCAATTCTCAAGAAGGATGATCTAACACTCTATAATGATAGCTATGATACTTACACGTTTATACATCACATGGAAAATACTAACATACCAGCCGAATGAAGGCTCGTATACAGAAATCAAAATTCAAAAATACCAACGGAGATTCAGATTCAGATTCAGATGTGAAACCTACGAAATCACGAGCAAACCTAATACAAAATAGGAATCCATTGAGAACTCATAGAACTAACAAACAATAACAAGAAAAACAATCGAAACTTTCAACATCACTTTTCAATATCTCAAAAAAAAGAAGTGGACGAATTCAGAAAGACCATCACCAATCCTCTTCTGAAAGTAGTCAGCGCCGATAAGTAGAGATATAACTGCTATGGTATTGATCAAATTTGATCTCTTGAAAAAAAAAACTATCCAACCACCAAACGCGGACTGCGATTCCAAGAACTGCATTTACCAGATACCCTGTGAAAGTCCTATATCTGTGAAACTAATAGGCCACTGAATGTTCGCTTTGCCGAGCACAAGAAACATACACAACGTGGGGAAACCAGCAAATCAGAAAGAGCAGAGCATGTTTGAACCCATCAACATAACATCGAATGGTCTATATAATATCACACAATGGAATTCCGAACTAATGAAATTCACCAAGTATTCGGTATAACGATAGATAGGAGAAAACATAGACGAACTGAAATGAGATGGTATTGTGTAGTGGAATACAGCTTATTGAAAATATCACAACCTTAAAAATAGATAAAATTGCAGGTTCGATAGAAATAGGAACTATAGAATTCAGAAAACTGATAAACTATGAAATGAGATAAATTCCGAAGTTGAAAGGCGAGAATAATAAAGCCCAGAGACATTCAGAGAAATCTAGATTCACCGATGAAAATAAGCGAACAAAGAGAAAGCTTGAAATCCATACAACTCTGCTAATAGAGATGACATCAGCTGGAGTAACGTTATACAGGGTACAGCGCGATGAATGTCAGTCAGCTGTATTTTATCATATAATAAGATTCACATTCTGAAAATTGACAAACAAAGGTTGTTCAATATTCTTCGTCGGATGAAAATATTAGTATTTTTCCAACACTTTCGGTCATACAAGAAGTTGGTACCAACTTGGTCAAACATAGAAACATAGAGTTGAAGAAGCTGATACCAACTTCTGGTATAACCGGAAGTGTTGGAAAAGGACCAAAATTTTCACTCCATGAAGCATATCAAAATGCCCATATTTGCCAGTTTTTAAGATATGAATTCGCATTGACAGTTATATTGGTTTTTTGTTTTTTTCTCAGTCATTTGGAATTTATATACAGAAGTACACAGAATAGTCACTTTTTCAGAATTCAAAATCATCTATCAATAAACTAGTTTGGAAAATTTTCTTTCATTTTTACTATATTCACCGCAGCGATGAATGTATTATTGAATGAAAATGATGAATATCTCTGAAATATTTGAACAATTTAAGGATGAGTCTTTGGATTTCACAAACTTGGGTTCAAGTATATATCTAAAACAAAAAAGCTTTGAACATTCAATTGAAATTTTGGACCTCAGAATTCCGAGTGTTACTTCCTGATGACATAATAGGTTTTCACGGTTTTCACTTTTCAACATTCCAAATGAGTCCAAGTAAATGAACAATCTTTCTCATTAATATCTGTTTATTATTGTTGGATCTACCTTCAGGTTATTAAAATTGAAACAAGTCAGTGATGTTGGTCAAACTGATAGATATCTTGATTTTACTCATATATATTGTTCAATCACAAAGTTTCTGTTCAGTAGAGATCATCGTGTCTCAATTACTTGAAATACTCAAATATTTCAGATGCCAGTATTTTAAAAGAAATTGAGAAGAAGAGTGAAACATATCTTTCAATAATAAAATAGAAGTAACAGAACTAGTTTCGTAACTATCAGAATGTCAATATTCCAAAATGAACCTCTTGTAATGAGTATAATCTAGTGATACAAGTATCAAATGTTTTTTGTATCGTTAAATTTCCCCTTCGAATCCTGCATGATTGACTGACACTTATATTTATTTCCAATACAATTTTCAATAACATAAAAACTTTGGAAATAATATTCGTTATGATGTCACCGTTTCTATGCACGCAATATACGGAAATCGGTCGATATATTGACACTGCATGTTCACTGATATATTTTCGATTTTGTTAACCAGTGATTCATATCTGTCGTTTTAGGGAGCAATTAGATATCCAGATTTTCTCCAAGAAGCAATGAAAACCGGAATAGTTGTTCAATCATTTGCTTCATCTCCATGAATTCTGTCTCAAAACACCAAGAATCATTTATATGGCTTGAATAATATAGCATTCTCTTGCGTGTATCTGAATATTGTGAAGAATCTTAATTGATTATATTTTGGATCGAAGTTCTTTCATCTGCACTGATTTTCACTTTCATATACGAATTGACCATTGATTCAAATGAAGTTGAAGCAAAGCGAATCAAAACTGTTAATTTGCTAGATCTTCATGTTGTACCCATTTTATAATGAACTTATAAGAATCTTTCTATAGGAAACTACTCCAGATTGGCCTGTGAGATACAATTTGTACGATCCATGGGTTACTATCTCATCCAAATCTACATCCCGTCCGGCCTTATTGTCATCATTTCCTGGGTAAGTTGATTTTGTTATTGACTTGATACTTTCCAAGGATTTTCGTAACAAACATATGAACTGACACAATAGTAAATCATGAAAAATTAATAGAAAATCCTTCTATAGTATAACAACAATTTTCAATTGAAGGTAACTCATATACAAATTTAACTGAGAGCTAACGGTAACAATGTTAAATGTTAGAACTAAATTCTTACCGGGGTCATTTTTATTGTCTATGCATCGCCATTGTGAAGAATTGAAAAGAAAGATGATTCCATAAAATTCGCCCCTCGTAACAAGATAGCGTCTGCATATCGATAGGATGTACGAGCGAATAGGTGAACCAGTTTTTCAAATATTTTGAAACATCGGTGCACTGATCAACACTTCGCAGGTCTATTATATTTGCGTCCTCAAAATTCCATAACATTTTTGGACGGTTAATCAACAGGGTTACGCGGACCAACGGGTGAAGGGCAACGACTAATTGTCGCCCATATAGGTAGCAAGAGTGGCTTTTCAGACGATAGTGCACTTATTATTTCATTCAAAAGAACGGGGGATTATCACGAAGTCATGGACGCCCAATGCTTTGAAGTATGGTTTGAATCCCTTTCACGAGTCGAGCCAAATTCGGTAATAGTAATGGACAACGCTTCTTATCACAACCGATTAGTAGAACAGCTGCCAACTATGACCACCAGAAAAGCAGACATGCAGAGTTGGTTGGGACAAAAAGGAATTTCATTTTTTGAGAACATGGTTGAGGCCGAGCTCATGAGTATCGTGACAGATATCGCCAGCATGTGGTGGATACAATAGCTCGTGCTGAAGGCATCACCATTTTGAGACTTCCTCCTTACCATTGCAAGTAAAACTTGATAGAATTAATCTGGGCTCAAATTAAGGGTTTCGTAGCTCGTGAAAATGTGTCATATAAAATTTCTGATGTCCAACGTTCATTAGAACTCGCAATGGAACGGATACGGAAAGAAGATTGGGCTAATGTTGTAGCCCATGTGATCAAGAAAGAAGAGAAAATGTGGAGATTTAAGTGTGACTGGGGATTCCTCTTCGGACGTGTCAATGGATTCTGAAACTTGATAAGCATAACATAGGTAATTATTTCTTTGTTCTGCATATCGATATGATGTACGAGCGAATAGGTGAACCAGTTCTTTAAATATTTTGAAACATCGGTGCACAGATCAACACTTCACAGGTCTATTATATTTGCGTCCTCAAAATTCCATAACATTTGTGGACGGTTAATCAACAGGGTTACGCGGACCAACGGGTAAAGGGCAACGACTAATTGTCGCCCATATAGGTAGCAAGAGTGGCTTTTTAGACGATAGTGCACTTATTGTTTAATCCAAAAGAACGGGGGATTATCACGAAGTCATGGACGCCCAACGCTTTGAAAGATGTTTTGACAACGCTTCTTATTACAGCTGATTAGTAGAACAGCTGCCAACTATGACCACCAGAAAATCAGACATGCAGAGTTGGTTGGGACAAAAAGGAATTCCATTTTCTGAGGACATGGTTAAGGCCGAGCTCATGAGTGTCATTAAACAGCATCGTGACAGATATCACCAGCATGTGGTGGATACTATAGCTCGTGCTGAAGGCATCACCATTTTGAGACTTCCTCCTTACCATTGCGAGTAAAACTCGATAGAATTAATCTGGGCTCAAATTAAGGGTTACGTAGCTCGTGAAAATGTGTCATATAAAATTTCTGATGTCCAACGTTTATTAGAACTCGCAATGGAACGGATACGGAAAAAAGATTGGGCTAATGTTGTAGCCCATGTGATCAAGAAAGAAGAGAAAATGTAGAGATTTAAGTGTGACTGGGGATTCCTCTTCGGACGTGTCAATGGATTCTGAAACTTTATAAGCATAACATAGGTAATTATTATTTCTTTGCTTTGTAGTTCTCTTTCTATATAAAAGGAACATAATAATTATTTTTTGTAAATTTTTCTGTTTTTTTGAAGTACTGTATTAGGCATAATAAGAAAATGTAATCAGTTTTACCACTGACACCAGGTAGCGCCACCTACTATAACAATTTTTATGTAATTACCTGTACGTTCAGATAAATAAAAATATTATGTTGGTACGCCTCTGCTGAGTTGGTAAAAGGATTATCCGTTGGTCACTTCAAGTGCGACGTTGCTAATGAATCACCTCCAATTGAAAATTGTTATAATATAGATACATATACTCATATATATTATCCCGATTTCAAAACAATTAAGGTCTTTAGGGGGAGCGCATCAGAAACGTTCAATTTTCTATCAATCAGGCTAAATTTGATCGAAGCCATGGGTTATGTTGGCTATGAGGACCGCTGTGGTTTGTGACTTATTTGCATACACCTGCGACTTAAGAGAACCCCACAAAAAAAGTCTAACGTGGTCAAATCGCTTGATCTCGGTGGCCAATTCACATCACCTCCACGTGAAATGACCAGCATGTCCTCAAATCGCTCGTGCAAAATATCCAATGCTGTGTAGTACGTGGTGCCGTACTGTTCAAACTATATGTTATTGGTATCTAGATCGTTCAATTCAGGCCAAAAGAAGTTGGTAATCATTTTCCTGTAGTGCTCGCCGTTAACAGTTATGGCCTGGTTAACGTCGTTCTCAAGAAATGTGGACCGGTAACACCGCCAGCCCAAAATCCTCACCAAGCAGTGTTTTTTTCGAGATGCATTGGACGCTCTTGGATCTCATGTGGTGGGTATCGTCCCAAATTCGTCAATTTTGTCTGTTGACGTACACATTCATCCAGAAACGGGCCTCATCGCTGAAGATAATTTTAGATGAAAATCAGAGTCAGTTGCCAACTGCTCCCGAGCCCATTCAGCGAGCACACGTCGTTGTCTATGGTCGTTGACCTTCAGTTCCTGGGTCAGTGGAGTTTTGTACAGGTGCAGGCCCAATTCACGACGCAAAATTTGACAAGTTGTAGTCTGCGAAAGGACGTTGTTTTGTTAATAATAATACGGCACGAACTTCGAATGATTGTTGTTCTGGTAATAGCGTGATATGCTTGAGTAGTTAATTCCCGTAATTCCTCAAGCGATGCAGGTTGTATAAACAACTGATTTGATTAAATGGGTAGAATGAAAATAATAATTCACAACATACACAACACTTACATTCAATGCTACGTCAGCACGGAACCAATTTGAAAAATCTGGGTCTGCACGGTCAAGTGCGACGACTGCAATGCCTCATATATAGGACAGACGAGCCGCAGTTTTAAACAGAGATTTGAGGACCATTTGAGAAGTTACAAATTGAATAAACAAGATTCCAAATACGCCAATCATGTCAGAGAAAACATTCATAATCTTTACAACCTATAGAAATTAAAAAAAACATCTTACTATTGAAAACAACATTGTTCTGAATGATCAGATATATATTTATAATTTTCCAATCATCAAAAAGGTTATTAGTGATTTCCAAATGTGAATATTGTATTATGTATTATTTTCACCCCACACATTCAAATCAAATGAAAGTACACATATTAAAAGCCATAATTATAGAAGAATTGACTTGAGGTAACCCCATCGATAATAATCAGGTGGTGTCAAGTCTGGTGACCTCCATGACCAATTGAACTTCTTTCAATCCATTCATTGGGATACCCAGTATCCAACCAAAGTATTAATTTTGTCGCATAGTGGAGAGATGCCCCAATTGTTGAAAGGGCAGCAAATCTTCGTTTAGAGCTAGATTGCCTTGGTCGTCCATTTGGTTCTCTAATTCAAGCATAATCATCACCGCCTAAATATGAGACGTGCATTTTATACGGGTAAAATTTCAACATCTTCCTTGCCGACTCACGTGATAGTCCTGTACAAGAAGATTTAGTAGGATCTATCACAACTTGTCAATTCAATTCAAATAGGGGTTTGCTGTTTAATTTTTCAGTTGTAGTAGGTGAGGTTTCTCCCATGTCATTTAGATAACTTTTTGGTATAGTATTTCATTTCTGATATATAGCAGATTGCAAGTTCCAAAATCACGTCACTGCATCTGTCTGTATCTGTAGAATAGGGAGAGTGAATGTAGATCCATGGCATTCAGGCCACATGTGGCCCATTGTCCATCCTCCCGAGGAGTTGTCCTCCTAGGTCATCGTCCATTCTGTCCTATCCAGGAAGGTGGACAGGTCACTAGAAGACATCTCCTTTATATTTTCAGATGTAGGCCAAGACTCGCCGAACTCACTTTGGCAACCTTGAGGTGTCTCACGGTGGTCTCCGCGAAGGGTTTGGAAGGTGCAGCGACATAACTGTCGTTGCGCGGCTTCTTCAACCTTCTTCAGGTTCCCTCCGTGGGGGTGCACAAGTGAGGAAGCTTTCCTGCAGGTGCAGTCGGTTCCTTGCCTTCATTCAAGGCGGAGCTCTTGGCGCCCACCACAGAAAGTGCCCTTGCTGTTGGAGGTGAAGTGTGGGAGGAGAAGGGTGCACTTATAGTTGCAGCCACTTCTGCCTCCTTGGCTCTCTTTCTCCTTTTGGTCTCGGTGCCGCAAATGCACTTACGCCTTGGCATTTGTATTATATCACGAGGTGAACTGCAATGTCCAGCCTCATTCCAAACGGTAGATTGGGGTGGATATTTCGGTTCATCCCCAACCACCGCCTCAGATAGAGGTGAGCACTTCTGTCCAGCCTCGGTATTAGTTTTTGTTTGATCTGTTTTGTTAACATTCATGTGTGTTTCCATGAGTAGCAAGGGAAGAGTTGGTCACCTCATATCACCCTGCGGCCATTCAGGTGTCGGCACGATTCCTTACACCTTAGCTTGGATAGGTTGGTCCACGATGGCATGTTTTGCAAAGGCTTTTGGGGAGTTTCAGTTCCCCTCGCCCTACTTATTTCTGCCACTGACCTGGAGTCCGACGACCCCGTCCGTGAGGCCACATTAGCTTCCCGAAGAGGGCCTCCAGTCCGCTGGCCGTTCCCCTATCCGCCACCTGGGGACGTGCCCGATAGGTAGCCCAATTCACGGAACAGCACACTGCATATGATCATTTCTTTTGAATATCAATTATTATAACAACTATTTTCGATGATATTCAATTTGGAAAGTGTAAGATTACTATAATGAATATCTAATATACTCCAGTCCAAAATAATCGTTATTACTATAACTTACTTTGTTAGTGAAACGCAGCGGCCACTCAAAAAAGTTCTAAATCGAATTTGTTTCACAATCGATATTTCAGATGACTCATGAGAAACTCCTGAAAAATCAAAATCTGAAGATCTTGACTACTTCATAGTGCTTTCCTAGTACTATTTCAATGTTTACTGATCTCTATAAATTTTTTGTTAATGGATATAAAATCAAAAGTGAATCAAATGAGCGGCAGCGTCATGGTATTTTGCACCGCAAACAATCTTCCAAGTTGATTTGAATATCTGAAATATTTGAAACATACATTCGCAGAAACTTTGTTAGATAGAATTGTGTCGAAATTATGGTCCAGATGTGTTTACTATATTTATTCTGCAAGTTCATACGCCTGACGTTTTATCTGCAACTGCGTAGACCATATCACAATCGTCTTTGATAATGTACACTATAGTTTTAGACGAAATTTAAGTGATGAGATTCTGCATTCCACGACTCACAAATCCGTATTGAAGTGGTTTTTCGATAATCTTGAAATTTACAAACGTTTTCACGCTGCAGGTGAGCTTCTGGTTGAATCGAAACGCAACTCCCGCTCGAGTCTCACTAGGAGTGACCACCGTGTTGACCATGACCACCCTGATGTCGTCTACAAACGCGGCGCTACCAAAAATTTCCTACGTCAAGTCGATTGATGTTTACCTGGGGACCTGTTTCGTGATGGTCTTCGCTAGTTTATTAGGTGAGTACTTGTTGCATATCATTTATGAAACAATTACATTACAATTTTAGGTTGCATTTTTCATAATATCTTGTTTTTCACTATTCACTTTTTTAAAATTGTTTTTTTTAACACTTTGTGTATTGGTTTGACAATAATGGAATAGAAAATGAAAATGCTTTCAATATAACGAGTAATATATGGAACATTAACAATGAACTGTACTGGAGAATAACTAAATGATAATGAACGTACTTAAAGATAGCTATTTCAAAATGAACGACTTTGTGACCTCGCAGGGTGCTTTTATATGGTCGTTATGAAAACATTTGTAATGTGTCAGCATTTGCTTTGTCTGGAACGAACGTGTCCATCTTGCTGATACTATACAATAAGCACTTTTCATAGGAAGCTGTTGTCGCTCGTAATATAATATGTGTGAGACGTTAATCTGCATATAACATGTATGTTAAATTGCATTAGTTTGAACTTCCTTTGTCTGATTTTATGTAAAATGAGTTGAAATCCCTGAACGAACTATAAAGAATAATTAAAAAAGGATAGCTGAAAATTATAATTATATCAAGCAAAAAAATCTGAGATGAAATAACAGTGAAATAAATTACAAGTTGAAATAAAGCAATTGAACAAAAATAAAAATGGAAAATTAAGAGATTCTAAGCCAAGTTCCTTCACGACGTTTCAATCGTTAGTATCTACAATCGTCTTCGGGTGATGACTGGACTAAGTCCTCCGAGAGATGACTATTTATGGGTCATTTGAGTACTTACACTTATCTTCGCTTTCCCTTTTCCGCTTTACCGGTTCAATGGGAGATGACCGTTTGACGGGGGTTGGCCATTTTTCGCTTAATTATGGATTTCCTTATGCTGCATATCTTATGTTAGCTTGGCTGAATACATTGTTGGACAACATGTATGCGGCTTCTTTGAATTTCCTCCTAAACCAATGTTTCTCCCTGTGGATGACCTCAGCTTGGGACCACTCGATGTTATGTTGATAGGTCCAAACCTATTCTGATTTACTGGTTTTCCCTCGCTTCGTGTGTTTCTTGTGCCCGGCAATAGCCTGTTAGTTTCACCGATATAGGATTTTCCTCTCACACTCACATGGTATCCGATAAATACAAGTCTTGGAATCGCAGTCCGCGTTTGGTGTACTGGTTTTCGTGAGGCAGCTACGGATAGTGTTCCCAGATTTGAAGCAGGTTTTGATGTTGCACTTTGATCTAATTCTTCTTATCCTTTCCGATAATCCTCTGATGTAGGAAAGTGCAAGCACTGATTGTGACGGCTTTTGTTCCTTGCCAGGCTCCTGCTGTGTTTTAGCCAAAGTTTGTTTCACCATCGGTTTGGAGTAGCCATTCCATTGAAGATCATTTTTGATGATGTCTAGTTCCTTCTCGAGACCTTCCTTCGTATTACAGAGCCCTAAAGCACGGTCTTATGTAGTATTTTTGATTCCTTTGACGAGAAATCTCACAATGACAATTTTTGGTCCAACGAAAATTCCCATTATTAGCAGCAATTTTGCTGAAAGTTTGGGTAGGAATGATTGGTGACTACTTTATTGCTCTATTTTTTCTACCAGCTAGGAAAACAAATGAATCCTACACGTACTTTTTGCGAGATCATTTACCCCTTTTGCTGGAAGAAATGCCGATACTTGTATAAAGCAACATCTGGTTCATGCAGTTCATTTCAGTGTTCTTGCTCCTCAGCATCTCAACATCACCCACCCTAATCGCTGGATTGGCCAGCTCGCAGCCCTGATATTAATTCTGTAGATTCATATTCATGGGGTCATCTGAAGACTCTTGTTTATAAAATTCTGTACTAGATGTAAATGACTCGAGGAATCGGATAATTGACAATTGCAATGTCATAAAGAATACTCCAGGTATTTGTGAACGTGTCAGACAATGAGCGACAAATCGATTGTGGTCGTGTATTTTATCAGAAGGAGGACGTTTTGCTCATTTATTTCAAAGTCGAAATTGTTTAGTATTTACTTTTGATTTTTTTTTAATGTTGTTCATGGATAGTTTGCAGGAATGTTTTTTCTTCGAAACTGAAACTTGATATGACAGAAATACAAGCGACGAAACAGTTGTATTTTCAGTTGCTTGGTCTGAAAAAATTAAAAACTACAGAAAAATCAGTGGCGTTCTTTTTTTCTCAATATTGTTGGCTGCGGTGCCCACTGGGACGCCACTGGACCTAATAACTCCAATCTAGTTAGGGCTGAATAAGCGCCTTATAACTCCGAATAAATGCAGCAGATTTCATCCAAATCGGTGCAAGAATATTTATGATGTTTCATAAACACCATTTTTCCAACTTAAACGCCCTGTATCTCAAAAATGAAGCAACTCCGGACATATGGAACTTGTTTTCTCCAAACGACCTAACGAATCACCCTCTAAAGTTTCGTACCATAGTTAGGAAACACCATGTAGTTGTTTCGAAAGGGCTTTTTTTCAGTTCGTATGCGAAAGTTAGTATAAGTATGCATGATCTACACTTTTGAATTTGATTTTTTTCTTCCTTGCTTTGGAAGTTTCCCAAAATTTTTGTATGAAAATAAAAAAGTAGAAAGAAATAACAACTTCTTCACCAATTTCAATTCTCGAGGTCTCGATGTTTCTTCAATAATCTTTTTGAAAACTATCACTGAGGCCCAATGAAATGAGACTTCAATCTAGAATAGTATTCTCAATGAATGTTGCGAAAAACAAAGAGAAAAAATCAACTGAAAAATAGTATATTGTCCCCGTTCTATCATTTAATGCTCAATTTCAAATAGAAAAAATGAACGATATCATAACTCATATATGAACCAGAAACGTTTCATTACCATTGAATATCCAGAATACAAAACGCCCCTGTACATAAATGATACTCGTGCCTTCATTCATCTCCGCTATAAAAAGAATCTTTTATCGAGTCGTAAAATTGTTGGCCCTAAGAGACGCTTATCTCAGCCTTTGACCTCCAACATTTGCTCAGCCAGGATTACTAGAGGGAATACATTGTATATCCAGAGATACTCTCCGCTTTTCCACTTTCCAGCATTTCTTTGTTTCGACTATTATTTGAATATTCACGAAATCTGGTGCAAGCAGGATGATTTCCCGGAAATTATTTCCGTAAGAAGGTCGTATTATATCAGCTCTAGAGCAATAATGATGATATACATTTGCAGGGGTATTTTCACTGAGGGAATTCAAAGAAATGGTTTGTTGAGTGAGAGTAATTGCAGAGCATTCACATTACTTCGAATGAAACTGTTTGTTTGTGAGACTCTCTCTCTCTCTCTGAGATAACTTTTGAAGTATAACATTTTGTTACGAACCTCATATAACCTTTACTTGCACTCACAGAAACCAAAGTCGGTGCTTGAACAAACCCCGTTAATTTTCTATATCCCGGTTAAGATTTTCACTCCCAATTCAGACGTAACTTTTAAATATCCATTTTTATCAGAGGCCATCTCCCGTGTCAACGAGAGGAAATACTGAAACCCCAAAACTTTGATATTATGTGGTTTAAAATCCTATCACAGGTGATCACTGAATGCATATGCTGAGTTTATCGACCACCAAGCGATACACAACATAGGGCACTATTTTCTTCACTGGCAAACACCATTGACTTTCTGCAAATCAATAATGTTAGTTCCGAAATCTCCATATTTAGTGATTTCAATGTCCACAATATCGAATGGCTCAAATTTTCAAATATCAACGACGAACAAAGTCGCGAAGCTGAGGTTTTTACAATAAGCAGCGGATTTGACAGCGGACAACTTCTTCACCAGCCTCGAACCACCAACACTGACATAAACACTTGGCACATTGACTTGGGTGTCACACCAATAGGTGGTTCCACTTATGTTTCGCTTGCGTTTACGCAGCTATTTTTATCAAGTACTTTCTTGGTGTTTTCTCATTTTGTCAAGCCTGTCATCATGTACGCTTCAGGCGTCTGGGGACAAGCGGCTCCGTCCGACATTTCCATTTTGGAAAGGTTGCAAAATAAGTTAATTAGGATGATTGTGAATGCTCCTTGGTTCGTGCGGAATGAAGCCATCCGCAGAGATTTGCAGCTGCCTTCCATTCGGCAGTCCATTCAGTCGAGGAATGAGAGAGTTTTNATCGACAATATTCTTAGAATATTCAAGGGAGAAAAATCCATTTATAGACATTCTATGCATATTTTTTCGGGAATAATCCTGCCATATTCATTCAAGCATATTCTATGAATATTCTAAAAGCATGTATATATTCCAAGAATATTCTATGAATATTTGGAATATATACGTTCGTTTCATGAATATCTGGTACTGTGTGGGAACATACCCTGAAGTAGCTGGATTCCATCCAGAAAAGAGCCATCCGCCTGATTAAATTGATAGCCTGGAACATCGATGGAAGGTTGGAGATTTTTGACTCTACTATAGATACTTTCACGGGAGGTTTTCAAGTGACTTGGCACATTTGATTCCACCAAGAGCGGTACATATCAGAAATACACGACAGACTGTGGCTGCTCATCGTTTTGAGGTTCAACTCAGTACAGAACTGACCCCTCTGGAGAAAGGCGTTTATGTGGAATAAACTTCCTAAGAACGTTTTTCCAAATGGATTTGATCTCCACGATTCGCACAGGTACCGCTCTGAATTTCAGAACGTACTCATACATTCACATACTAATTTCTTCAATATTGTTATATTACCAGGCAGATTCCAAATTGTCAAAATTAAATGGATGAAACTCATATACTGCACATGGGGAGTTTTGTGAAAAATGTTGAAAGAAGCACTCGTTTCAAAACAGGAATATCCAAATTATCTATTTGGATATTCCTGTCAGATTTCACTCAAGATTCCATTTCATTTGTTGTCACCCAGATTTTCCATATTTTCAGTTGGAAATTGTCTCCCAGTTAGTTTAAAAAAATCTGTTTTTCCGTTAATCAGCTGTCGCCCCCATACGAACGACAACTCTCAGAAGTTGAGAAATTTGTGCGAGCTAAGGACTAACGAGGTCTTACCTTTTAACGTGTGATTCCTAACACGGTTGCAGAATCATTCCAGCTTCAACCAGATAAATTCTCGAGAAAAATATCTGGTAGAGGCGGGAATCGAACCTACGGTCTTCCGATCGTGAGTCGAGTTATACAATGTTATATATGAAGAAGTTTTTAATTTCTTCCGAAATCAAATAGTATATTATCTAACTGAATTTCATCAACATCAACTACTTTCCATCTCATCAAAATTCTAAAAGAAAGGACCACTACCTGTTGAAATTTACTCGTGAAAAACTAGTATTGAAAAATTGTACTTTCGAACTTAGATTTTTCAAAACCGTTTATTAGAAAAAAATATTCGTAGTGAGATTTGAGTAAAATACAAATTATTAATCAACTAATCATTCAATTCAGCAAAGACAGGTATTTGTATCCGATGTATTATCGACGCAGGGAATGAAAAAAAGATATTCATCTCAATTTCATATGTATTCTCTGATTTCAATGATATCTACTACGTAAAACTTTTATAAATTAGACTATTATTATTAATGGGTAACAGCAATAATGACCTGAAGATATGGAGAACTCACAATTATTTTTGTTTCAGAATATGCCACCGTAGGTTATATGGCAAAACGAATACAAATGCGAAAAAATCGGTTTCTGGCGATACAGAAAATTGCCGAGCAAAAGAAACTGAATGTCGATGGTGGTCCCGATGGGGACCATGCCCCCAAACAAACAGTGAGTAGTCGTCCGGTAGGCAACCAATATTTCATTTAAATTTAAGATTCCAATTTCTCAGTGTAATGTAGGGTGTCCCATTCAGTAGCTTCTTCAAAATGGAGTAAAACGAGATAGTCATGACGTCACTTACATTTGATATAGATGTGGCAACACCGTAAAACTTATTCATATTTCACGATTTGATTTTCTTCTTCTTCTTCCTTTAATCTTGTCGTTAACTTGTTTTTTGAGGTCGATTTGATGGTTAGTTCCAAAATCAAGAAGCCTTTCATATCACTACACAAAAACTCTATACCTATTTGGAATTTTATTGAAGAGATATTTGATTGAGTATACAAATTCGTATAATTTTTTCTGCAAAAATTATATACATTTTGAAACGTGCTTTGGAATGTGGGTTGAGACTTGATGGTAGTGACGTCACAGTAATTTCGAAAACTTTTTTATATTATATTTTTTTGGGAAGACTAAGGATATGTTATTATACAGAAGTAGTTATCTTCTGGCACAATATGGGAGCCAATCTTATGTGTTAGATGTGGATGAAAGTTTATCCACAGCTTTCAGCTTTCACGGCAAGGCAGCAAATGACCACCAGAGCTCAAAACAAACCAATATACTCAGGCTCAAGCAGCCTGACTATATCGGAGGACACTTCGATATACTCAGGCTATATCGACGGACACTTCAATATAGTCAGGCTGGTTGAGCCTGAATGTATCAAAGGACACTTCGATAGACTGAGGCTATATCGAAGGACACTCAAATATACTCAGGATGGTTGAGCCTGAGTGTATCGAAGGATCCTTCAATGTACTCAGGATCGTTGAGCCTGAGTATATCGAAGGACACTTGACACTTCGATATACTCGGGCGATATAGTAGGACACTCAAACATACTTAGGATGTTTGAGCCTGAGTATATCGAAGGACCCTTCAATGTACTCAGGATGATTGAGTCTCAATATCGAAGAATACTTAAACTATATTGAAGGATATATTGAAGGACACTCCGTTATACTCAGGCTATATCAACGGACACTTCGATATACTAAGGCTGGTTGAGCCTGAGTCTATCGGAGGGCACTTTGGTATACTCAGGCTGGTTGACCCTGGGTATATCGATGGACACTTTTTTTTCCTTGGTAGCTATCTGACTTGCCCATTTAGTCTAAGGGCCGGTTTATCAATATGTAGTTAAATGCTCCTGTTAGCTACCTCGAAGCTAAGCTTAGCTGATAGTCAATGTTGCAGTTACTACTCAAATCCTTTATCATACCCTGACTGATGCTAATGTTTAATAACTGTTAGTTAACTGAGGTTGTCATAAGTGACTATTTCAGGGGCTTGTTTTTATTGGAGGATTGATTTTCAAAAATGACAACTGCTAACAAAAAGTTCATGAGTTATACATTATAACCTATATGAGTTCAGAGGGTATATGAAAAACGAAAATGAGCAATAAAAGAACATCCAATTTTACCGAAACAGACAGATCACTCCTAATAAAAATTGTCAATTCCTATAAATTTATCATTGAGTGCAAAAAAAAACTGATGCCATCACATGAAAGAAGAAAGAAGAGATCTGGAAAAGAGTTGAAATTGATTTTAATTCCTCTACATCAGGACCTGTAAGTCTCCACCTCATCTAATTCATTGAAAGCATCATTACGTTCATTAACAATGTAAGGTCTTCTCTGAACTCCAATGTATCCTCATCTTCGTCATTCAACAAATGGAAAATTTCTTTAATTAAACAATTATAGTAATTAACCCTTTACTTGCAAAAATTATTTTTCAAATTATCACAAAAAATATAAATAACCTAATTTCGCATGCGCGACCACATAACCACAGAATATCAGAACTGATATTCTGTGACATAACTGTCAGCTTGAATAAAAAAACTATCACTTTCTAGCGACTGTTACAGTCACTGAGACTTCATCTACCAGTTAATGGTAACATGATAACGAAAAACAGTTTGACTAGGAGCTAAGACAAAACCATTAGTCAAATGAGGTTAGCTGGCGATTGATACACCGGCCCTAAGTCCCCAGAAAACACTGCAGGCTCTTGGGCTCATTACGTTTATTCTCCCATCTTCTCATGAACCCCATTCCATCAGTATCGCTCCCTGTACTAGTTTGTACATGTTCCGTGTTGGATGTTCGTCATATTCTTCTGGACGTTATTTTGTACGTCCATATATTGCCTGCCTCCTGTGATTCTCAGTGCCTCACATTCGCATAAGATGTGTAGAGCTGTTTATATCCCTTCGTTGCATAATCTGCAGCTGAGGTTTTATTCAAGTGTCCTCTAACCGGACAATGACCGGTTAGTAACCCTGTAATTATTCTGAGCCGATTCCTACTTTATTGAAGTAGTTCTTCGGTTCTTTTCTCGGACGGTTCTCTAATGAAGGTTCTACTGTGTTTGTTGTTTTGTCCAGTACTCTGTGTGCTTCTTATTTGTCCATGTCTCTTGCTGTCTGTTAAAATATTGCTCATTTCTTTGAGGTTTCAATTTGATGAGCACTGCAAAATAGCATACACTTCCGCCTGAAAGACGAATGTGTATAGTCCAAGCGGATAATTGTAGTTTAAATTTCTATCCTCTCAATATATTCCAGCTCCCGTTCCATGTTTGGTCTTCGATCCATCTGTATATCAGGTGTTTTTTCCAAACATGTTTTCGGGATGACTAATGGTCTTCCACTCTTCACGGCTTATGATTTCAGCTGTGAAGTTTGTGTTAAAGGTGTACTTCGGTGTCATGTGGTCCGTGCAAATATTCACATGTTCCGAAATTTCTGTTCGGTCCGATCTTTTGTAGTTCGGTAAGTTTTCCAGTCTGAATTGGCCACACATTGATATACTCAGGCTGGTTGAGCCTGAGTCTATGTCATTTCGTTCTGTCATGCAACATATTCAGAATACTAAAAAAATTTCGTATTTCTCAAGAAATAATAGAAATTTCAATATGTTTGACTCGAAGCCATTCTAAGTGCATCCAATACAGTTATCGAACATGTACTTACTTTTGGCCGTAATTGAGGAATTGATTAAAAAAATATAATTTGTTACGAACCTAATGGACCACACTGTATATTGAGCAAGTCAGTATTATCCAAATATAGGACACTTTTTTCCTCTTCAATAGAATACTCCAGTTCAATTTTTCGTCCTCCTTACATTGTACATTTCAGATCAGTCGAAACCCGCTCACAATTAATATTAGATCTGGAAAAAAGCTGTTATTTTTGCTCTCATTTCTTTCTTAGAACCGTGGCAGATTACTTGGAATGGATCCAGTAAAATCTTTGTTGTTTGGACCGGCATTCATTAGTGTATAGGGGGAAAATGAAAACTACCTCTTTTCACAATGTAGCCGGTCATGCAGAATAACTCGACTAGAGTATCCCTGCTAATTCATTTCTTATTCATTCCTACAACTATCTACAGCGTGACTCACGTCGATGTTAGATCAGAAGTTTATGGTAAACGCAATTTGGCTGAAATTTCCTTCGACGTTTTTAAGTCTACACCAGCTAAGAAACTTAGAATATACGATGTCGTATTGATGAGCCGATTTTGTTGGTAACAATTCAACATCAGAACTGATTCAGATCCAGAAACACTATCCGTAGCAGCCTCTCGAAAACCAGGCCACCAAACGAGGACTGCGATTCCAAGAATTGCATTTACCGGATACCCTATATTGGTGAAACTAAGAGGCCATTGAATGTTCGCATTGCCGAGAACAAGAAACACACACAGCGAGGGGAAACCAGCCAATCAGGAATAGCAGAGCATGTTTGGAACCATCAACATAACATCAAGTGATCCCAAGCTGAGATCATACAGAGGGAGGAACATTGGTTCAGAAGGAAATTCAAATAAGCCGCAAACATGTTGTCCAACAATGTATTCAGCCAAGCTAGCATAGAGATACGCAACATATGGAAACGGTCATCTCCCACTAAACCAATGAAGCGGAAAAAAGAAAGCGGAGATAAGTGAAAGTACTAGAATGGCCCATAAATATTCATCACTCAGAAAAAATAAGTCCAGTCATCACCTGAAGACAATTATGGAGACTAACAATCGAAACGTCGTGAAGCAACTTTTTATTTTTTATTCAATTATTCTATTCTTACATGTATTCGATTTCACTATTATTTCATTTCAGGTTTTTTGCTTAATATAAGTGTTATTCAAGCTACTCATTTTGATTACAATCAATGATAACTGTAATCAAATCATATAGGACATAAGTCTGAGCGTTTGATTAATAGATGGCGCTAGATGTATTGAACTATTAGTTGATTCGAATGTTCATCAAATAATAATCATTAATTGTGAGGGTAGAAAACGAACATTTTTACCGATACATTTTCAAGTGAACCCTTTGCGATTCAGAGTAGGTACTCGTGAAATTATTTACGTATTCAATTTTTTGAAATATGATTGGCTAACTTTGAATAGATATCACTACTTGGTATCATTCCATGATTCTTCAGTTTTTTCACAACCTCAAACCTGGGACATCCTATATTATAGCCTACGCAAAGTTGCTCATTTTTCATTGTATGTTGCGTCATCACAACTGATCTGGGTACTTGTTAGTGGGGACCTTTGTTCCAGGAGGTGCGCTTCAAAGTTCATGACCCTAAGGCGCACAGCAAGGGCGGCACCCTGGAGAGCACCGTCAATGGCGGCCGGGGCGGCGACAGGGGAGGCGGCGGGCCCGACGAAGAAGCTGCTGGCCCCACGCCCCAGCACATCATCCACCCTAACAAAGACGTCAACAAGCTGTACGGCATGACGCCGTCAGACATCGACAAATATTCCCGGATAGTGTTTCCAGTGTGCTTCGTGTGCTTCAATCTCATGTACTGGATAATCTACCTGCACATTTCCGATGTCGTTGCGGATGACCTAGTGCTGCTGGAGGTTGACAAGTAAATGTCTGCTGTGATCGTGGAGATGGACAGTGTAAAGACTTGTGGTTTCGAGATCACGGGACGGCTCCTTTTGAGGTGTTCTGTGTCGAGGTTGACAAGTGACAGGTCTACGGTTCCGTGGCTTTGCTATAGACCAGCAGTTTTCCTTGAAATTGCGGTAAGATGTTAACTGAGTGAGTGGTGACTTCAGTATCTAATGTTAGATTGCTTATGTTATAACTTGCACATGTCATTATGATAAATCAATAATCATGAATGTATTTTCAGGTATTTGTAGGTTTCAGATAGAGACGAAAAATAAAAGAGTTGAGTAGAAGCAATTGAATCAATTGGAAAGAATTTCTCAGTCTAATTTGAATGCGAGTTCCAACATGGATTATATAAAATTCCTCTCAACTATTGTCATTTTCGGCTGAAAATAGTTGAAGCGAACAGAAAAATAATGTTTGATTCTGCCGTCCCAATGGGCTGTTTATGAGGTTCTCAACTTTAAATTCATCTGTTTAATGGAACACTATGTCAAATATGAAAATAAAAACCAATACGATGACTTTTCACATAATGCAGACATTTTTGGAATTCTAGGGTGTATTTATGATGTAATTTTTTATAATAACATTATTTTCCGATATTTTCTGATATTAAGACAATATAAAAATGGCTGTATTGTTGAAGGGTTGCTATTGATGGGCCAAATAGGTACAACCCTTTCCTTGCAGGAATTTAAATTTGAGAAAGTCAAGGAAAGATGAAATGAGATAATTGATCTTCTCTGAAAATATGATGTTTTTCATCATACGAGCATTTTCTAACTAAAATAAAAAAATTATCGATACCAAACTGCAACAACAAAATACGTTTTACGACTTCCAAAACGCTTGTAACATATTAAAATTCCAAAAAGTTAATTGATTAATTTGTTTGTATCAACCCACTCTCAATTCAAAAAGAAAAAAACCTCTTTTTTATTATGCCTTCATTATTGGAATCAATCTTTCTTCATTCTATTCATAACAAATCCAAAATATAAAATTCAGATTTCAGTTCTGGTTGGTAACTTCGCATCACTCAAAATGAAACTTTAAAAAAATTTCTATCCCCTTCATTTTACGATATTCTACATCAGAAAAAACTCCAATCAATTCCTTACGTTTGCTACTTCTTCAAGACTTACATATAATCTCAGATTATTCGGAAATGTTTCAAGCATATTCAACTTACAGTTGTGACATATGAGTCATTTAACATTTTGACATTTTCCTCGTTTAAATAAAAACAGTAATTTTTCAATATGGTTAAGGCTCTGAGAGAGCTTTGAGTAAGCTAGCCACTAGTCAGGAAGAAATTCCAAAAATCCACGACTTTCAAACCCGGAAAATAGGGACATTGGATTTTTCATTTGTTTTCAAAATATATGACGACACGTTTTCGAAATGTTTTCAATAACACTGCTAGTAAAAATTTGGAAAAAAAGTGAGTTTTTCATATATTCAGTTCTCAATTGAATCAGCAGATTCAGACACATGTGGACAAAAGAAATTGTATGATTGTCTAAGCGACATAAATAGAAATACAAGTATTGAAGAAAATATCTTCAACTTTGTCGGAAACCTAACCAAAATCACTAACGTTATTTATTGATGATTATATTTAGGAAAGATGAAATACTCATGAAATGAAGGACAAGAACTAAAGCTATGTTTCCAAAAATTGTTGAGAACTGTGATTTTCATAGAATATCATATTGAAATAATATTGAAAACACTAAAATGAATTATTTCATTCTTGTGAAAAGTCTATTTCAACTTCAATGATTCCAAAACAAACATAGTTATTAGGCAATAGAAATATTCTATTTGTGAAAAAAAAAGTGATGTTTGAGAGGACGTGTAAACAATCATATCACAATATATGTTAGCCAATAACAGAAGCAATCTAATTTTTTTTAAATCGGTCACGTGAGCAATTTGGTTCGAATATTGCCAGATGAATATTGCTGGTCTATAGCAATGTTCAGATTGAAGTAAGTTGACCTCTACCCAGGACACAGTTGTTGCCAATTTGAGCTATTGACGAAGTTTTGCCCTGCTAGTATTTTTCTATTCATCGATTCATAACAAGCACAGAAATTATTTTTTCATAGTAACATTTCATCTTTGGCATCTGAGAAAATACAAATTACATATCTCTGCAAGAGTTACCAATTTTGAATTAAATACTTCAGTTTTGACAGTACAGCAAATAATAACATTACTCTTGAAAATATCCAGTCATCCCATTCTTTGATATATCTCATTTACGAAATCTGGAGAATATAAGTATTCCATTCGTCCATAAAACTTGTTTGATGATAATCAGTTTACATCGTCAGTAGCACAAATTGTAGCGAACTAACAAAGTCAAGAGTGGCGAAAATGGACACTATTCGTTTTATACTTGATGAAAGAATAGACTAGTCAATGAAGTCATCAGCGGCCATTTCGTAGGCAACTTCACGAATGAGAAGCTTTTGATACAGGTCGAAATGTATGAAATTGGGTTATTGTGCTGATAATATTTGAGCTCAATAGTGGTTGACTCTGGGTGTATATCATTCAAATAATGTTCTAGTTCACCTCTGTAACCATAATGTAACCATATTTGTATTTATCCTCTTTCATGTATTTTCATATATCCTTATTTTGGATAAGGTAATCAAAGCATTACTTTTTATTGATATTTTTTTATGTTTGTGTGTTACTGATAACCTCTCAGTTATTGATATTTTCATATTCATATTTTCATTTCATTTCATAATAGACCAAATTGAACAGGGAAACAAAGTAGTAATTTTATGAATACATGAGGTGTTTATGAGTACAACCATTTCTGAACTTTTCGGCAGCTCATAGTATTTTCAGCATTCATTGCCAGTATCGGAATATTTTACTCCATTAATCAGTTTGAGATGTTCAGTTCCGTTATTTTTCAGTTTCGGAATTCATATTGAAATTTCAGAAAATCGATAATAGTAGCAGAGGAAATTGATTCCATATGGAGGCTTTCTCAATTCAAGGAAAATATCAGAAATAGTCAACAACAAAAAGAAATTAATTGAATAAATCTCTAGAATAATTTCTCTAGAAAATATATGAGATTTCTACTACGATCAGCATAAGCATAAGTACCTAAATTATTTCAGAATTGAAACTTATGAAAATAGTATGACACAAGAGGCTATAACAAAGCTCACTCAGGGTTAAATTGACAACTGCTGGTATCTGAACTTTCTGTGAACTAGTCGGTTGAAACTGAAAATTTTTATTTTCCAGTGGAATCCAAATTATTCAATCCAAAAATATGCAGATGCTAAGCAGGTATTTTATTGCTATTTGATGAGAAATGTCACAAAAAAAAATATATATGAATCAGATAAATATTGGATTTAGAATATTGAAATCACTGAGATCGGAAATTTTTCAACATTTTTCATTCCGAAATTTTCTTCCAGCTTTGAGATTTTTTCAATACCTTCGGTGCAGGATATTTGAACTTTGCTATCCAACTTCACCCACGGCTTTGCCGAACTCTAAAAACCTGATTTGGTCTCCAGCGGGGCAGGCACAAATTATATGCTCTGCTGTTCCATCATTAATGAGGTAGTCGAATAGTCAAGGTGCAAGATTCCCACCTTGATACCTGCGACAACCTTCCCTTACGAGGGTTTTTATTCGTCAGCTACATCTGATTCAACCGTGCAGGGCTTTTTCGCCTCCGGGTTTGGTGAATCCTCACTTGAGCGCAAACGTTTGCTAACCTGCTCATGGGGAGTTTGTTCTTCCACTTGAGACAGATTCTGCGTGCGCCACTCAAGATTGGTGCAAGGCGGTTTCATAAGGTGCCCCGCTCTTGAGGAGACGACTCAGTTGTTTCCTGGCTACACTACCAAACCTTTTTTAGGTTCAGTTATTGGATCAGGAGTTGGAGAGTTGAGAAGCTCTCGCTCCTGATCTGAATTTAGAGGAAGGTCAGTTGGAGCCTAAAGCTCGACATCCACATCTCCTACGTAGTAGACTCGCTTCTGATCTAAATTTACAGGGAGGTCAGTTGTAGTCGTTACCTCGACATCCATCTCCTCTATAGACTCAGCGTCACAAAAAATTTCAAAGTTTACTCTGTCCATAAAAGTCCCATGAGTAGCTATGGAAAGAAGGTCAATCACGACAGAGCTCCGCATTACCGTGACAGGGCGATGCTACGACGAGAGGACGCCCGGTGTCTCGAAGGTTCCGTAGGGACAGCTGATAGGCTCAGTGTCATTCACCCTCTCGGCCCAGATACACACACCTTAGGATTAACCACGTACCTAACCCCGTATCCAGCGGGGCTACGTGGAAGCAGGCATCCGATGGCCAATATCCCAAGCCAATGCACTCGCCAAAAACAGCACAACACAGTAGTTCAGGCAGTGAAAGATGAACAAGGACAGCCAACCCGCCAAGTCAGAATATAACACAGGAAATATATTTTTTGAATTCGTTCCAAAATGCAGAAGTCAGCTCTTCATTCGAGTCATGAAGAGAGATAATTTATAATTACTGAATTAATAAATATGGAAATGTTGCTTTAGCTTGAATGAAACTGAGAAATATTATAGCAATGTTGTATTCAAATTATAGTTATTTGTATGAATTCAAATACTTTTTCATCATCATACCCAAGAATTTATAAATCTGTTATTCCTATTCGATTGAAAATAGACCCGAACTGGCAATGAACCAATCCAATAATTGTCAAAAAACTGACCTTAATGCAGGCAGCTTATTTGAAGCTTCTTCTTCCATAGCGAGAATTGTATATAGTTCCCTGTAATCCCTTCTCGTTATATATTTCCATCTCATCATAACCGACACATCGTTATACAGGGTGGTCAGAAAATACCTGTCGTACTGAACTCAATTATTTGATCTAGCTAGAAAACAGGACGTATCATCTTGCCACCTTGTTATTATCATTATTACGATCGAAAAATTCAAATAGATGATTTATTGTTCAGTTGGTAATGTTTCGAAGAGTTTATTTGTCGTTACTTTCTAGTCGCTGGTAGTCTAGATTCGACTATAGTCCATATTATATCCAAAATGTATGGTAGTGCTGGAGCTAGCGTGAAAAATTGTAAACAAGTAATGGATGAGTTTTAGATATTTGGACCTTGTATCAAAGTTTGAAATTGTTATGGGGGCCAATGAATTCATTACTCGATTTATACCGACAAACCCTACTGTTCTAAATAAACTCAATTTTTCAGTGTAGCTCCAGAACTATATCATGTTGGTTGCAAAACAAATGAGTTTATTAAAAACAAATGAAGGAATACGTTCCGCTACGGGATTTTCACCACTCCAAAGTTATTTGTATTGCAAGATGCACCTATCTTGATATATCGTGAAAGCACAGTTGTATCGGGAACAACATGGACATTTATCCTGATCATTCCCTAGATTTTCATTACAACTCATAGAATGTCACATGGCATGTTGTTCGCTATACAAAATGACTCTGGACTATTACCCTAAATAGTTTATTTATACCCATGTATATATGACGTTCCTGTTTTATACTCCTTGCACAGATCCCAACAGCAATTTAGGGTAGTCCGCACGCACATACGATATTCCACAAAATCCTTAACGGAGCTAGAGATATCCGTTTGCGGTTTTTCGGTATTTGTCTGTAGAAAAGAGTGACAACCCAATTTTCAATTTTTGTAAAACATTCAGTTCGTAACAGAAATGTGAACGTGATAGATTCAGAAAAATGAATCATTAGCCACAATTTGTTAATATACAGAGTGTTATTAAAGGTTTTTCAGTGGCGTTCGTTCTGCCGCATCTCAATGGTTTTTCTTTTCGAAGGGAATGTCTCAAGGTATTTTAATATTCAAGTATAACTTGAACTTCCTAGCTTTTTCTGCCATTTGAATTTTATATTGATGAATACAGGGTATTTCCTAACGGTACGAAACTTCAAAGGGCGATTCGTTAGGTTGTTTCGAGAAAAAAAAATCCTATGAACATATATCCAGTGTTGCTTCATTTCTGAGATACAGGGCGTAGAAGTTTGAAAAAAGAGTATTTATAAAATCGCTATGAGACGTTTATTTAGCCTGAACTAGATTAAAATTATTAGCACCACATCCAACAATATTGAAGAAAAAATGCCACTGAATTTTTCTGTACTTTTTCATTTTATTTTTTTAGATTATGCAACTGAAAATATAACTTTTTCTTCGCTTGTGCTTTCTTTATATCAAGCTCCGCTTTCGAGAAAACTATTCATAGATAACATACAATAAAAACCAAAAGTGAATTATGAACAATTTCGACCTG